GGTGGTAGAGCAGGAGTGGGAAGGACAAGTGAGAGGGGCAGTGAAGAAATCAGGTTATTTCAGATGAATTAACATCCTTTAGTCTCTCAGTACTTGTCTAAGGCTTGTGGAGTCTGGAAGCAGATGGTGCCGTATACCACGTCTTGTGAGTGTTTGGTCATCTTACTTGAAAGGCAGCCCCTAGGTCACACACCATGCCTAGCTGGCCCCATCTGGTGGTCCTTGTGGACTTGGAGAAGATGGCCTGTGCCCGGCTGGGGTTTCCCCACGTTCCAGAGCAGAGAGCACTTACCATTGACACTTAGGTTTCATCAGGGAGTCAGCTGGATTCCAGCAAGTTATTGCCTCTGCAAGAAAGGTAATGACTTAAGGTTTTTGGAGGTGGAACTCTTCATTTCCTCCTCTCTGAGTACTGCCAAATGGACTCAGTTCTGTGGCCATGTCTTCCAGCCCTCTAGTCCAGGGCCTCCTTGCATCCTGGAGCTGGACACAGAGCTCAACATGCTGGCCTCGGAAACTGGAGAGCGCTCCAAATCTTGAAGCACTTTGACTGAAATCATTGAACACTTCATTATATTTTTTAAAAGGCATAAAACCCAAAAGAAATTCCCAACGAGAGAAAAATAGTAGCAAAAACATTGTTCCAACCAAACTATTCTACAAATGGCAGATCACTGAGGTGACAAGTATATGTGTACTGTCTGTTTCCTGGAAACGTAAAGACATCTTAAGTGTAGGGATAGCTTCATATATTGTCACTCACACGTTGGTGTTAGAGACAAAGCCAAGATTACATGTGAATTTAATTTTCTGGTGCAAAAAGGCATTTTGATTAACAAAAATGTTAAAACCTCCAGTAGGAGGGCTTCTTTTGCAGACTGAATTTCCTTGGCTGACTTTTAGGGGAGCTGGGTAGGAATCATTGCTGCAGGGAGGCAGGGTAACTGGGAAGCATCCCGTAAGCCTCAGCTGTGTTAGGTGGACACGGGGCTGGGGGCTGGGCCTAGTGGATGGAGTATGTCAGTTACCCAGTTAGGAAGACCGTTTCTGCCTTCTGCTAATGGTAGACATCCTTTTCTAATCTAGAAGCCTCTGTTTATTCAAAGTGCCCCAAGATAGAATAATCTGATCCTTTTGATCTAGTGAGAATGGTTTCTGAGGGCAGCCTACACCTTCATCACAGGCTTATGCTCTTTAATTTATCAACAACTATTTAGCGAGTATCTAATTGACATGAGCTGTGCTGGGCTTGGTAAATAGCTAAAATCAGTATATGCGCATTTGATAAAAATGGATGCAAATTTCTAAGTGGATATTTTCAAAAGTATAATTTAATGCACAGAATTTAAAATAACGCAAATCACCCCACATTTTAAAAGTCTGTCAAGAGCCACATAGTTTCAAAGCTGGCAGGCCGAGTGTGTTTTCACAGTGTTGTGTGGTTGCCGCACATCAGCACCCATTTGCCTGCGCCACAGATGCCCCACCCTGTGTCGGCAGCGTCCAGTGGATTTCCACTCTCCTTTCCTTCCTCTAGGACCCTGCACATGATTTTGGTGACCACTGCACTGTCATTCCAGGACCACGTGGGTGTGAAATTGGAACAAGGCCCTGCAGATCCTGGGTTTCAGTCTGAATTTCAGCTTTCATATGTTTTTGGCACGTCTAGCCACACTGCCTTTGGAAATTTTCTATATGTCCCCACGTTCTCTATTGTTACAACTTAAAATATCTGTCTATCTTATAACAGTAATGTAATATCTAACCTGTATTGAACACTCACCGTGTACTAAGAGCTGTTCTCATCCCAACAACTCAGTGAGGTATAAGTACTGTTATTACGCCATTTTAAAGATGAAAAATCTTGATACACGGGAATTAAGGATCTCCTCCAAGGTCACTCATCAACTATGTGGGGACCAGGATTACAACCAGGCAAGCAGGTGCGGACCCTGCATTTCCCCCGTGCCACCGTCCTCTGAGGAAGCCTGTCCCGGCATTCTCTCAGCTGGACCTGCAGACCCCGGCCCCAAATCATCAGCTTGGGAAGAAATTACACCTGGTAAATGGTACAAAGAATGCAAAACAACCACCATGAAACACTCTCCAAAATGCATTCTCTCTCTTTTGTTACTGTTGAAAAGTTAGTCTTGCATTTTGTGAATTTTGAATACTGCAGCTTCCCTTCACAGAGCGTCAGTCCTGACCTCCAGCTGCTTACAGTCGAGTTTAGAGCAGCACCTACCATTTAGTGAATGGACCTGTGTGCTGGGGACCACGCCAACCCCTCCCGCCGGCTCTCCATGATAGGTATTGTCGACGCCAGTCATGTCTCCGAAATGGCCGACTAGTTATCCAAACTGCCTCCGCAGGAACTCCCTCCCTAACCTAACTCAAGTCTTTTTGGGCAGGAGAACTCCACTTTCAAGCTTTCCGTCTCATGATGTAAAATTGATAATGGTAAAAACGTTATTCATTTCAGCATGTAACTGCTGCAGGCAAGCATGACCCAAAAACCTGAGGTTGCAGATAAACAGATAAGCCCTATACTCCTGTGAAGTTGACTCCAGGGAACGGATCTGCGGCCCAGCGAGTGGTTGCAGCTTTCCCCACTGCCCACGGCATGAAGAGCCTGTTCCCCACTAAGTTCGTTCAACCTTTGGGAAATCTAGCTTCCACCTCCCTTCAAACAAACAAACAGTTTGATTTAATAGGGACACAGTTAAATGTATTCAGAAGCCATAGATAGCCTCAGCCGCTGGAGTTCAGGGGTACAGTGCAAAGCTAGAGCTCCCCATCTCTCATTGTAACCTAAAGTCCATCCTGCTGCTGGAAGTGACTGAAGACCCTGTCTTCCAGTGCCTGGAATCATGACAAGTAGGAAACTGAGGAACCCCAGTACTGGCAACCCCTCCTTAGGTGTATTTCTGAGTGGATGCCTCAGCACCCAAAGCAATTTGCTTCCAAAATTATGATGTGGAAAACTCTCTTGCTTGAGAGCACAATAGTTTTTTTTTACATTTTTAATGCCTTCAGCCTTTATTTGTCAATCATAGGAATCCAATGACCATTACTTGACATCTTTGTACCTCCAAAACATGATTCATTAATTGTGTGTTTTCAGAGTCCTATCCATTTTGGAAATGATACATAATTGATTTACCCAGGGTGTGGGTTTAGGATACAAATGTGATTTTTTTTTTAAGTTCATGCTATATCAGCAAAACAACCACTTGATGGATGCAGCAATTCTTTTCCAGAATAAAGCCTGGCTTTGGCTCGGGTCTTAATCCGTAGGAGTATGTAGCTTTGACTCTTGGTTTCCAGTAGAGTCCTTGCTGGTTCTGCATGGCCGTGTCTGCAGACCTGCTCCGTGCCGCTCCCTCCCTGGGTTTCCAGGGCTTGTTTTGAACATGCTCCTTGTCCAACTGACAACTTCATTAAAGAACATTCACATTTGTAAACATACTGACTTTTCAAAGAAGATGTGAATTTACGCTTCAGAACGGGCACACATGCTGTTGGCTGAACTACATAGAGGGAGATACACTATTTACATACTAAAAAGGTCAGTGTTGGACAGTCAGCATTTAGAGATGAATTTGCTGCTGCTTGCAACTAGAGCATAAAAGTTTGGGAGAAGGCCACAATTTTGCTGTCCCTTTATCTGTGTAGACAGCAAGCATGGGTAAATATGCAGAGTGTCTGTGCCCAGCGGTCACGGCAGTGACGGATGGCTCCTTCACAATTTAGAACCTGATTAGTAACGGGGTCATGACTATGTGACCATGCAATGTGCCGGTCAGCCTTGTGTACTGAAATCTGTAATTAATTTGAGGCAGAAAGATTTGCATAATAGCTTTTCAGACTCTGTTAGTAAAACACAAATCATCATCATAAACTTTAAATTATGTGGCTCCTGTTAAGCAAACTAGACTTTTAGAGGGCTTCAGACGTTTCCTGTTGTGGCCTTTCTTATCAAGTGTGGCCTTTCTTATCAAAGTCTCTATCAGCAGCTTTATTTTCTAATGTGTGTTGAAAGTATCTTAAATGATGTCATTATAAAGGCATCAGTTGTCTCTGAAATCTCTATAATGTGTTTGCTCCTTATCCATTTGTACATTCAAAGCCAAATAATTAGGGATTATGGCTCCTTCTAAATGTCAGGATATGACGCAAGAGTAAAGCCACCCTTGAAGGTGGAAAACTACTTCAGAAAGGCTGGGAGAAGTGGGAGGTGGAAGTGAAGTCACTCCTTGGGGAGAGCAGCCACTCTTGGGCAAGCCAGCAACCACTGTCCCGCATGTTGTAGAACCACGGCACGGTCAGAGCTTTTGATCTCAAGAGTCTGTTTCAGAGTGCATGTGCCAGGCCAGTCCCATCTCAGCTGCAGCTGCTTTTGCAAGGCCCAGCCAGGTCATCGTGTTTTGCTGGGTGCTACAGCAGCAGCTGCCGCCAGGTTCTCACAGGGCCTTGTGCTGCACTCCATGTTCAGTGTCCCCCAGGGGACCTATGCAGCCACATGTGGACCTGGGCTCGTTGCCTCTTTGGAGATGTACAGAGTGGCTGCCTGGAGGAAATCATTCTTTGTGTCTGTGCACATCCCAGGTGGCTGGGTGTGCCAAGCCCCTTAATAGCCATTCTGTGAGGCTCTGTGCCTCCTCGACTCCTGATGTAGGGAGAGAGAAGCCAGTGGTAGTGTCAAGCCAGCTCTCCGTTGGCATCAAACAGAGCCCCACAGAGATGATTTGCTTAGCAAATAGCCACAGGCTCCAGGGCCTTATAGAACATCTGTCTTTCATGACCATTGTTTTGAAACAGAGCAGTGGTATCGGCTGTGCTTGGAGACTCCTCCTGGCACTGAGGCTGTGTGACCAGAAGACCAGGGTTTGCACTGTGTCTGCACTTTCCCTGACCTGACTCTGGACAGTGAGGGCTACCCAAGATGGTGCCCGCTAACTCATGCCGTCCCTGCCTCGTTCGCCCTGCCTCTCTTTCAGAACACTCCGCGGAGCAGACGCAGCAGGCGCTGCACAGTCTTCAGGTTGTCCATGTTGGTTCACCCTTTCCGGGACCTTCCCCTGGGCAGGGAGCAGCACTGCAAGCTGCTTCCAGGCGTGGCTCATATCCAAGTAGGCGAGGTGGCCCAAGGGACAGCGGATGAGGTGAGTGGAGCTGCTCTGGGGTCCTGGGATAGAATGTGCCCTGCTGCTGAGAATTTCCCCTGAGCACCGAATCCACTGTATCAAATTAAGATCCACACCTGAGGGAGAAGGCAGGAGTGATTTTTGAGGAAATTAGGAAAGCCCAGTAGGTTTTGTCCTCATCTCCCAGCACCCTCTCTGTGCTGCATCGCCATCAGCCTGGGCTAATTAGGCCGAGGGTCCAAGTCTCCAGGCCACATCACAGATTGAATTAGAGGAAGCATCTCAGCCTCGGGCCGCAGCAGACCCTGTCCTAAGCTGCATCTTCCCTGGGAGGAATCCCATCCCCAGGGCGTTCTGGGCCCGCAGGGCCAGGGGAGGCTCACCTGTTCTCACTACAGAACAAGTCTGTGCTGCCCCTTTGTCCATCCGAAGTCACAGATGACCTGGTCAACTTTAGGTTTATTTTTAAACTAAATTAGATCACAGCATTGCACAAGATGCTGTACAGAGGGGAAAATGGACCCGATTTTAATATGAGCATGCTTGACAATATTGGTTTTCATAAGGATCGGGTAGGCCTCATTGCTTACTGTATTGCTGTAGAAATGCTTCATATGTACAATCTTCTTTTAAGGAATATACTCTTTGACTGACAATCTTTTTGATAAAGATATTGTTTTCACTACCTTTCACAGGCCTTAATTAAAGTTTTTTTAAATGAAGGGAAACCCTGGGTCACTCTAAGGACAAGATTAGAGCTGTGTTAAATCAGTCACCACACGTTCATGGAGCGCTGACTGCACAACTGGACTTACCATTGGTTTAAGCCTCCCTTTCCAGCGCCAGACCCGGAGCAGGCAGCAAAGGCCGTGCAGAGGTGGGAGGTGTGGAGCCACCCTGCTCCCCCTCCTCCTCGCAGGCCCCTCACAAAATCTAGCTGGCGGATGCCCCTGCCCAGCATTCCTCCACATGGAGCAGAGGGGCCGGCGTCTTTTCCCCAGCAGAGCCTGCCTGCCCACCTCTCCTTCCACTCTTCCCAAGGGCCCCGGAGGTCCTGGGTGTTTGGGGAATGGCTAAATGTGATCCTGCTCCTTAAAGAGTGTGCAGAGTCTGCCCCGCCCCCCGCTTATGGATTTTTGCCAGGTTACAAAGCATGCATCTGCTTCATGACTCGCCAACTGGATTAAACCTATTGTGTCTGTAATCTAATCCTGTGCGGCTTTGCCCTTGAAACAACACTGCACGTCATGGGGAGCTTGACTGAGAACTTTTGTTGCTGACTTTGACTTCATCTGAAGTTCCACCTGTCTTAGAATAAGACTCACCGTGGCTCCTCTTCCCTTGCTTGTCACTGTGCTCCTGGCCCCTCACATCTTCTCTGTCCTGCTCAAACAGATGTCACAAGGACAGCCACCGGCAGCCAGCTCTCCATGCACAGAGCAGCTGCATCCTGAAAGTGGGCGAGCGTGGTAGAGGAGGAGCGCTCCGGGGTGTTTCTACCCGCTGTCAACAGGCCCTGGCTCTCCCAACACGTCCTGGCCCGCCTGGCGGCCCTCACTGCCTTTCCGGTCTGACCGCCAGGCCCTGCACGCTGCTCTCACACTTGCACAGCCGCCGCCTCCAGTGCCCCTCCCACTGTGCCTGCTGCCATGGCCAGCCGTCAACCCAGTCCACGCCTGCGGGAGCCTCCAGGCTGGGCGCCCCCTTGGTCTAAGTCTTCTGTTGCTGCCCTGTCCTCACTGTGTGGCCCCAACCAGATGGGGAGAGGCCTCGTCTCACTCACCTGGTGTGTGTCCTGAGAACCTCTCACTACACCTGGCACTTGTAGATGACCCAGTGAATGGTTGTTGAATGACTGTTGAATGACAAGGGCATCGTGAGCTGGATTTGGAAACAAAAGTGGACTATATCTAAGCAGAGGAAAGAAGGGAAGCCATTCCAGTTGCAGGGAAAAACAGGAGATTGCACGGAAGTGAGTATGACAAATGCCAGGATGCATCCTTTACTAACATTAATAACGATAGTGAACAATGCTAATACAAAGATAGTAAGGCAAGTACTCTTATTTTGCTCATTTTACAGATAGGGAAATTTAGGCACCCAGAGACCAAGTGACTTCTCAAGGCCACACAGTCAGAGCCAGGTCCTGAGGTGACATCTGACTCACCACGCACATGCCGAGCTGGGCACAGAGGAAGGTGACCTGGATGAGAAGATGGGCAGGGGTGAGGTTGGGCACTGGGCCTGCATGGTAGTTGCTCAGCAGTACGAACCAACTGAGGTTCTAATGAGAAAGTCACTGTGGAAGATGGTGCTTCCAGAAGACAGGAATGGCAAAGATCTGCAAAAAGAGAAAGAGTGAGAAGAGGCTGAGAAGAGGGAGATGCCAGAAGTCACCAGCGCGCTCCTGGTATGGAGAAATCAGGGCCTGGACCAGGCACGGCGGCCGGAAGAACACCTGAGTTCAGTGGACGTTTCAAGTCAAAAGCCCGAGGGAAATTGATCAGATACAGAGAGGAAGAAGTGGAATGAGCCACTGAGATTCTGTTTATAGTCTCAGCACTACACAGTTCAGTGCTTAATTAGGATAATAAATGTGAAAGCTGCAAGGCCTGAAGAATTCACCAGAAAGAATGGAAAACTAGTGGTACCATCACAAGAAATGAAACTTTGGGGAAAGGAGGCATTTTGGGGCAGGGAGATAAGGTGATGAATTTGTTATGGGACAGGTCCCTGTGGATTACACGGATAGATGAAGAACCACTCTTCCAAGGGGCAGAAATACAAGATGGGGGTGCCAGTAAAGAGTGGAGGCAGGGGTCACTGAGTGAACGCTCCTCGAGGACATGAGGGCCCAGAGGGAGCTGCTGAGGTTGGAGTGCAGGGACCAAGTTAGACAGTGCAGGGGGAGGGCCTTGGAGGGGGTGCTCTGCAGAGAAGCCAGGGGTCCTTGAAAGGGAAGTGTCAAGAGGAGGCCAGCTGTGAGTGTTCTGTGCAGCAGGACAGATGCCAGATTGAGGGCAGGGGTTCCTGGCTGGGGCTGTGGAATTGGGCTTCCGGAGATTTGGAAAAATTATGTACAATATATGTATGTTTTTTCCTTGAGAGGAGGGCCAGAGCTTTTATTAACTTCTCAAGGGGGACCATCATCCAAAAAGAACCAGAACCGCTGTTTTAGGAACATTGAGCAGTGAATAGGAAATCTGGGGGGACTCTGATCTAACAAGTTTCGAGTTTGGCACTGAATAAAAGTGAGAGATTGGAGGACGAGTCAAGGGAAGTGGCTGGTCCATGCACAAGTCTCATTTGGACGGGAGGGGTCTCCAAAGGAAGAGATTCCCTGGAGGGAGACTGAAGATGCCATCAAGGGTCATTAAGGTGAGGTCACAGTTCCTGAGTTCTCTGTGATGGGTGCACATGAAATCCCAGCCTTTTATTGCTGGCCTTAGAAATTTTCTAGATTAAAAAAAAACCACGATCAGAGAGGCTGTCTTTATAAAGTGCTCCTGCTCATGATGCTTTGTGATGCTTCCGTAACCGTGGCTTTCCCCCAGAGAAAACAGTTATGGTTATTCCCTAATGTTTAATATGTCTTAGTCCTGATGTCTCCCTAACTAGATGCCTTGGAGGACAAGGACCATATCCTAAATTTCTGTCAGTATCCTCATGTTCTATAGCACATTTCCCAGCACCAAGATAGGTCCGCAACAAGACTCTGATGGGTTGACAGTGTGGGCTTTGTGATGGTTCTATTTGTATCTTTGAAAATAAGGCAGCCCTCAGAAGGGGGTTCACTTAGGGTGCATCCCAGTGAGCACCAGCAGCAGAGTTTGTGGCCATTCCAGATGCCGTATGAAAAATGGCGAGCAGGGCAGTGAGGATTTGAAAAGGCAGTGCAGGGTGAGCAGGAGGCAGGGGGCATGGTGGGGGTGGCTGTTCTCTTGTGCTTTGTTCCCACTGGGCGTATTGAAGGGGAACCTCAGGAGACAGGGACAGGCCGTGTTGAAAAGGGACTTGTATGTGGCTGTGTTAAGTGCCATTCAGTGAGACTTAAGGGGGGCATCTGTCTAGGGCAGAAGATGAAGCGCAAAAACTCTCCCTTTGCCTGCCGTCTTGGCCTGGGAGGGGGACCTTGCTCTGCTCCTGACACCTGTGAAGAGAAGCAGCGGGTCTTTGAAACATTTCCCAGAGGGTGGGGACAGGCTTTTAACTCCTTTGTCACTGGGCCTGTTTCTACTCGAGAAGTGTTTTTCAAAGCACAGGTATAAAGTCAATTTAGTGGTTCTTGAACAAGACAAGACTGGATGAAAGTACCTAATTGTAGTAAAGGTTATTGTTTTGTGAAACCTGTTAGAAACATGCGGGCGTGAGCACACACGGCAGTTATGGTCAGTGTGAAGTGTATTTCTTACTCTGAGTCATGGAAATATTCTATAGAAGAGGATAAGTGTTTAAGAATATGGACTGAAATATTTTTGTCTTTTTACATCTTTATAGCAAATTATCTTGCCCAGAGTGGGTGTCTGACAACCAGTGGGTGAGTGAATAAATGAGGAGGTGAATTGTATGCAGTAGCCTCCTGCCAGGTGTCCGTGGGCACATGAGGGCTGGATGTCACATGTGGTGTGCACTTTACAGCCGCAGGTGTGACTCGGGGATGCTTGGTGCACATACGGGTACTTTGAGTTCTTACATTCAAAAGTGCTTTTTAAAGCAGCACTTATAAGTCACTCTGGCCTCAACCACATGTCCCTAAATGTCCATTCACTTTAAAAGATGGTGGTCACTTGGGCCGGCCCTGTGGCACAGTGGTTAAGTGCGCATGCTCCGCTTCAGCAGCCCGAGGTTCGCAGGTTCGGATCCCGTGTGCACACCGATGCACCGCTTATCAAGCCGTGCTGTTGTGGTGTCCCATGTAAAGTAGAGGAAGGTGGGCACGGATGTTAGCCCAAGGCCAGGCTTCCTCAGCGAAAAGAGGAAGATCAGCACTGGATGTTAGCTCAGGGCTGATCTTCCTC